ATGGAGTATAAACTTTAATTGCCCTACAAATTCTCGAACTATAACTCTTACTCTTACTACTTTCAATAATTCATACAATCATGCATTATTTCCTGCTGAAACTGAAGATTATTTATCAAAATATCATTGTATTCCTGATGATATCCTTGAAGAAGTACAATTTCTTACCAAACACAAGAATTTACCAATTACAATTTAGCAAAGGTTATTGAGGGCAAAATTTCCAACTCTATTTGTTCTTAACTGTGATCTTGCCAATGTCATACAAAAATATAAGATCAAATCAGAGATAACGCATAACACATCTAATTTACTAAAAGAATTAATCCAGTGTAAATCAAATGAACTTGGCTGGTTCATGGAATTCCAACTAGATAAAATAATAGATTAACACGACTTTTTTGAATGTCCCTGGTCCAGATTGCTCTTTGGTTGAAGTATTATGATGTTATTTTGAATTAGTGATTTTAGTTGATCAAAATTTTTCCAATCGATTAGTTGTTTTAATTATAATCAACTAGTTGCAACTAAAAATTCCTATACTTTGATTGGTTAATTCAAAACTATCCAACTAACGATTTGTAACACTATTCTGAATGACAATATTGCGAAAACCAATTGTTATAATATATTACTTTTACTTTTTCTCGCGATTGACAATAATACTAAGTCACATCTTATTGCACAGGCCCTTGTGTCTAATGAAACGACAGATTCTTATAAATGAATCCTGGAGTGCACTAAAAATGCAACAATGGTTGAACCATTAGTATTCGTTATTGATGCAGATCCTGCTGCAGATGTAACAATTGAACAAATATATGAAACGACTTATCCAGTTCATTGTATTTTTCACATTAGTAAAAATTTATTCAAAAACACAAAATCAAAACTTTCTAACCAATATGAAGATTTTATTCATGACTTTTATCATTGCTGTAATAGTCTATGTGAAGAACTTTTTTATAAAATATGGTCTAAACTTATTGAAAAATATCCCAGTATGAAAGATTACTTGATGAGAGCCCTCTACCCTAGCCGGCAGGCATGGGCCCATGCATTTACGTCAAAAATATTTACCGCTAGAGTACAAACTACTTCCCGCATTGAAGATTATAACAACATTATTAAACGTAAGCTATCATTAAGCAATACCTTGTGTGATCTCACAAATGTTCTTGATACTCAGCTTGAAAGGAAGGTGCAATGGAATCGATTTTTCAAATATAATACTCTATCAAATTGTATGGAAATCATATTGGTCAGCCATGATCTTTTTTCTAAGGTCGTTAAATTAATGTCTAATTATTTGATACCCCATATCTTATCTGCTGAATGCTTGGAAATAGCACAATGTCTCTTCTTTATCACAAGCAAGGTAGAATCAGATATTATTAAGGTAATTGGCCCTAAACTTCTATTATCGTCTGATTCAGAGACCTATCTTTGTGTCTGAAATTAATAGCTAAATCTAATCCCTTTTCCTATAGGACCCAGGTGTTAATGTAACGGATGGATATATTGAAAATCAGTACGATACCAAGCAAATTCTCTTAAAATCGATGATAGTGAAGAAAGAATCTGTGAAGTGTGAAAAATTACAGATATGTACCCTGAAAACAAAAAACATATACATTTCATTATAGTCATTGATCCTGTTTCGTATCTTTATTCGTACATGTCTAATATATCCCGCAACATTGTTTGTCATCATTACTTCCGAGTAATGATGTTTTCAGTAATTGCAGGGTTTCAAATCCAGATGATATCTTTGCAATGGTACATTGACGATCAAAAAGACAAGGATATTGTAGAAGAAACTTGTTTTGTAAATCAAGAGGCTGAGCGGAATTTTTCAGATGTAACACTTGTTCCAGATCCTTCAACCATTTCTATGACTGTTACGATTGTTTTACGTTGTGCAGCCAAAAAAAAGGTCAAGTATGGAGAAGTGTGGGACTTGCACGACAAGCTGCTCAACTCACTGTTGAATATAATAGTTACAGTAAGATAATTAAATGGTTAAATTAGTTTATTAATTGCCATAGAGAAATGATTATACTTACCGAATTAGTGCGAAATCAAGATAACAAAGAAAATGAACCTGAACAAATAAAAAATCCATTAGTATCACGACGCAAAGGATGTTCAGCAATCAAAAGATATAAATCATCAACTGAAAGTAAGACTTGTACAAAATATACTTGTGGTACATGCAGTCAAGTGGGATATAATAGTGCAAGATGTCAGAATAGGTAGTATTTATTTCGTTTTATTTAGTATTTCTTATCTTAATTTATTTCCCTTGATACTCCAGGTCATGATATTTCTGTGAGCAGAAATATCAACTTTTATTTCTCTGTTGTGGAATTATGCGTTAATACTGCTGTAACAAATTTGTGATAGGCTAGCGACGAGCCTGTCCCTAGCTGGGAACAGAATTTGTGCAACCGTCACTTTAGTTTATCAATAAAAAGAAACACTCAAAAAGGCAGATTTGATTAAGGCCGAAAATTTGATTTATTAATTGTCATCTGAAAAAATGTTATTTTTTTCTCTTTACTACATGGTTCTTTTATACATGAGGTCCAAAAATATTAAATTGTGGCAAAACTATTATATGTCGCCATCATTATTTTTGTCATCATCATTATTTTTGCGACGAAACTATTACATGTTGCCATCATTATTTTTGTCACCATTATTATTTTTGTGGCAAAACTATTACATGTCATCATCATTATTTTTGTCGCCATCATTATTTTTGTCACCATCATTATTTTTGTCGCTTGTCACCATCATTATTTTTGTCGCCATCTTATTAATTTTACCAAGCAGAGACGTGGCACGTGACTTCGCCTGGTCTTTCTCTGCTTATATTAATTATAGCATACGATTGTTCTTGGTGATTGGGTGTTGGTGACAATTTTCCCCGTGCGTGCCACTCGATCACGTGATTTATGTTATATCCGATCTAAAATTTCCGAGGTTGTTACATATAATTCATATAACAAGTTGTTACGGTTAAGTTTATCAAAAAAATTATATATAATTTTATTAATTATAATTTAATAAATTTCTTTAACAACTGGAACATTCATTAGGGAGTATATGTATCATGTTGTCAACTTCTCTGCCATATGACATATGAGCAAAAAGATATAATATGATAAGCAACCTTAAGAAATGGTTAACAATATCTATTGTCCTTACACAAAAATTGGACTGATAGATTAGATAGTTTAAACTAGTAATAGGATTTTCACCCCCTAGATAAGTTCTCTTCAAAAATATGAATCTACTTTATAAGTGTCATTAGTATCGCTGAGGCAATAAGTGATGTATATGTAATAATTAATAGTTATTCAATAAAAACCATATATTTAATGCCATTCTACAAAAAAAAAAAAATAATAAAAATAAATTTCTCTAACAAAATATAAAAATAATTAATAATTAAAGCTTAATAAATGTTGCATATTTAATATCCATTCATATTAAATAATAATAATAATAATAATAATAATAATTAATAATTATTTTTTTATAATTAATAAAAAATAGTTAAAAATATTTTATTTTTAAATAATTTTAATCTTTAAATACACAGTTATTCTTTTTATAGTATAGGTCAAAAATCCAATGGGTTTCTATACTATAATGAGATATCCACAAAAGAGAAATCCCACTTTATAGTAGATTTACTATTACATTATATAAAAATATACTATAATGAATATAAAATATGTAGTATATGACCTGTGGGTCCATAGCAGAGTGGTTAGTGCTCCACAGGTCAGATCACAAGATACCGGTTCAACCCCATGTGAGGGTGATTGAATAGATTTAATATGGTATCTGGCACTATAACCAATTATATGTTGTTTCTTATAAGAAGCCATTTCACATGCTGATCCGGTAGGCGTTGAGATTGTGATCTTCCTGTTAAAGGCGTAGTGGTGGAATGATCATCTGGATGGTGTCACAATGATTGTCTAACGAAAGGAGCCACAGAACCAATCATATATTTGGATGTACAGACTGGGCTGTACTCCATCTTAACCAATTCCAAGCCACCAAGTTCCTATATTAGTTACCGAAGTAAGGATATCTTGAAGAAGACCACTGAATCGACACATGCCCATGTGCGGATATGGCAGCCATGTGGTGAGACAGAGCATATAGGAGTTGCACCCTGCTTGATATTTATACACTTAGATTTGGCAGCATACACCAACCGGTCCGAATTTGGATTGTCTACTAGGAGATTAAGGAGCGTCGGTCTGTCACAGATAGACTAGATCCTTAAGGAGTCACATCCCAGTTGGCCATATGGCCCCTAGATTTGGTAGTGTCCAACCAGCGGTCAAAACCAGAGCATTCACTAGGGAGTACATGCTTGCATCAAAGGTACCCTCTATGGCATGATATTGTAAGCGAAAAGGTGGTATGTAATAGATAGCTTATGAAAGTAGTTAGTGATACCTATCCCAACCATGACGCTCACCAAAATTGGACCGGTAGGTTGGATGGTTTAAAACTAGTGGTAGGATTTCCATCCCCTAGATAGGTCCCCCCAAAAATATAGGAACCCACTCTCAGAGTGGCGTTAATATTGCTGGGGTAATAAAGTAGATAGGCTAGCATTTAGCTATTGTAATAGCAATAGACGATGTTTGATGTATATGTAACATTAATAATTACTTCAATAAAATCCCTGCATCTAATGCCATTCTACTATAAAAAAAAAAATATATATAGTATATATCAAATTTATTAATAGATTACTTTATTGATTTTCAAAATAATTAATTATTTTTTGTTGTTGCTTACTTTCAATATTTTTTCTAATAATATAATGATTTAAACTATCTAACATTTTCATATATTTATAACTAATCCCTATAAGATCATTTTGTTATAAATATTTTATCACCTTTGTTAACTTTCAAAGCATCAGATACTTTTACTGGTAGTTTTAATTCTTCATTATTTTCAGATTATTGAGCCTTTTCACCATTTACAAATTGAATAATTTCTTTATTTATCATTTGTTCCCTACTTAAAGTTTGATCATCAATTTGGATATATTTTATTATGATTAGAGGATCAGAAATTTGTGGCATTTGATAAATAAGATCCACAAGTTCATCTTCAATTTCACCACTGGTAAATTTATAGTCATCCGAAGCCTTGAAAGAAAGTATGCCTGCATGAATCTAACTACTTTTAATTGTAGCTTCAGTTATGAAATTCCAGGCAGTAGCAAAAATTCTATTGCATTTTGAATCATAAGAAAACTAGAAGTGAAATCTTTAGGCATAACATGTTTATATATTTCAAGTCAGTTTTTGCATAAATTTCATTAATAGTGAGCCTAAAAAAAAATAAAAATATGCAAATAGGTAAATATATGATATGTATACAATTGTGAAATATAAAAATATTGTATAGCAATAGCAATATTTAACATTAAATTTTTTTTTTTAAATCCTTCAAATGTCTTGAAAATATAAGAAATTTAAATATAAATAAGTTGATAAGTAAATGAGTTATAGCAAAAATATGAATAAGTTGGCAGGTAATAGTAAATATAGGTGAGTTGGTAACAAATAGATAGTAAATACGAATATGTTAAGTGAAAAATAAATTATGGATAAGTTGATGGGCAAAATTCAAATATACTGAGGTAAGTTAGTGGGTGAATGAATAATATATTGAGAAAAAAACAATTAAATATAAATAGATAGATAGGCAAATAAGTGGGAATTATATACAGTATGTGGTTGTATTACTATAAAAGGAAATTTGATCGATAATACAATTTCAAATTAAATATGAATTTCAATTAATTACTATATGTTACTTAGTAATTCTATCATAATATGGTTTTTGAAAAATGGTTGAATTCAATTTCATTACATGTATAGTAAGGATAATAAATATGGATAAGTTGATGGATGAATGAGTAGAAATAATAAATATGGATAAGTTGATGGATAAACAAGTGGAGATAATAAATATGGATAAATTAATAGACAAATGAGTAGGAATAATAAATATAAGTAAGTTAGTGGACAAATGAATAATAGGTAAATGGGTGGATGAATAAATAGAAAACAAATAAAATATAGTAAGATGATAACACGAATGATAAATAAATGTGAATGGGTAAATACATAGGTAAGTGGGTGGATAAAAATATATAAAATATTTATAAAAATAAATAAAAATTATCTTTAAACTATAAATTATTCTCTAATCAATTGATTGTAAGTAGGAAGTTATATTAGGAGAAAAAAATAAATTCAAATAATTGACAGTTTTCAATTTTATAACACTTGGCATTATCTATTAAAAGAAGAATATGTTAGTTATTTATACATATTATAGTATTAAGTCGGTTGAGATAATTAGAAAAGATTGATCTTTGCATTCAAGTCTTATTATTTCAGTAATATCAAACTGGAAGTGTGACTTTATTATTCTTCGAAGTGCAACTGATATTTGAAACTTATGAATAAACAATAATAGTAATTTTTTATCTGTTGCACTACAAGTTATTATAATAGTAATACAATCTTTTGATACTTTTTTTCTGGCTGTTGATTTATGAACAATAGTTTTGTATGGTTCTAATTTCAAAAAAGTGCAGTTTCGTCACAGTTAAAAATATTTTTCAAAGGATATTCACAAAGAATTTCTTGTAATTCAATTTGAAATTGGGGAATTTTTTCAATTGAAACACTTCCTGATTCTTTACTTCATTTATATATATTAAGATTATTTCTATTTTTAAACTTTACAAGCCATCTATTGGAAGCATTAAAGTTTTTAATATTAAGTTGTTCAGCAAACCATTTAGCTTTTTCTTGAATTAAGTTTCCTAATAAAGTAAGTTCTTGGATAATAGCTTGATCAACTCAAATTATTATTGTTTCTTCAATTTCTGGAAATGTACTTTTTTTATCATGTTTAATTTTACCTAATTCTGGATCAATATTTAATCAATATTGAGATCTTTTAAAAATTTTTGAAACTGATTATTTACTGATACCAAACTTTTTTGCCAATTCATTGTTTTTTGTTGAAGGAAAATCACATTTTTTTCATATAGTTTTTTTTTTCTTATAAAAATATAAAATATATTATTTAATATTATTTAAAATTTTTAATAATATTTTTTACATACCTTGTTTAAGTTAAAGAAACATATTTATTAAATGTATTTTTATTTATTATAAATTAACAAAAGAAATATAATGTAAAAAAAATTTTTACAAAACTCTTTCCCATGCATCTGAGGCGCAGTAAACACCCAGACAAAGGAAAAGATGTCAAGCAGCAACAGAGGTCTAAAGGCCTCAACCAGCAACCCAATTTCCACTGAAAAACAGCCCAGATATGACAAGCGAACTAGAGAACTAACCACAGCCAGGACCCAACCATACGCCAAGAAACCCACAGCACTCCCAACACAGATAACAACAAAAAACCCAGCACAAAACTTGTTGAACAGAGTGAACCAGAACATCCCACCCAAAGAAACAACAAACCAAGCACACAACAAGGACACCTCAACACCAGTAATCCAAGAAGAAGGATACACTTCATGGGGAGAAGAAGTGGAAAAAGAAATAAA